TCCTCCACTGAAGTTTAGGTGAGATAACTGCTACTTTACTTTCACTTCCAAGAGAGTTCAAAATCAAAATGTGTGATCGTTACCAAACAGAGTGGGAAAAAGTATTAAAGAATATTTAAAAAAAGGGGAGGGGGATTAAAAATAGGGTTGTGTCAAAAAAAAAGGAAATTACATTACTTATTTTTTATATTTTTCTTGCAAAAGAAATCTTACGGAATTGTATTTGCTGAGTATATGTACAGGGAATAGGTGTTCTGCATTAAAGAGCTTATAATAAAAGAATTTATGTGCTAATACTAAATAATGTTTTAAATGTAAGAATATTTGCAAAGGAAAAAAAAAAGCAATGGATTCCAAGCTTCCTTCTTAATTCAGTTGCTTGTTAATTTAATCTTTTTAATTTATTAGCTGAAAACTTCAGGACCACAGTAATTTGTTCTATTAGTAGTACAATTTCCACCCATATTTTGCTAAGTTTTATGTCTTCAGGCATGCGTTAGCAGGTAATTCAATCTCTGGCTGCATAATGCTTTCCTTTAATAAGGAAGAGCCTCGTAATCTTAATCCAATTAAAGAAAAGAGAACTGAAGGAACATTTGCCACAACAAAAGATGATATTAGAGGATATTAGCTTGGGGTACTGGCAGCAAGCTAGTAACTGTTCATCAGGAAATCAGTATCTTCAAATATTTTCAACTACAGGCGTGGAGAGCACTTGAAAGCAGCTGGGAGACCTGTGTCTCCTATTAAATGAGTTTGAGATACTTTGTTTCCCAGCTACAGTTGGTATTTTAAGTATGGAGAGTTGTAAATTTTGACACTGAGATTTACAAGGAGTTGGACATACACTTGGTTTTGCTTTTTCTGGATATCATTTTGTGCCAATGGATCTTTGGACATTTATCCCTCAGGGATGTGTTTTATATGTACACAGCCCATCCTGTTCAAAGACAGCACCTCTGATATTATTTCAATTCTGGGTCCTGTCTCTGAGAATAGCTAGTTCCAAATTATTCAGGGGGATACCAAGTATTACCCTATACCATGAATGAATAATTTTGTTTTCATTGTCTAATCCCTTGTCATGCTCTTGAATGACATCTTGGAGTACTGAGTGCTGTAATTGCTGTTTTAAAATGAACCCTATTTTACCAGTTTAGATCTTTCAACTTTGCCTACTGTGAGAAAAGAGAAATAAGAATGTGCATTTACTTTTTCTACATTTAATGCTTCAGCCACGTACTGTCTGGTGGCAAAGAGTGGTTCCTAAATATTCAATAGCATCAGCTCAAACCCCTCCATAGCATCCCAGCAAACTAAATTACGTTGTCTATCTGTTCATGATGAAGACGGTTTCCTTTTTCATAAGCAAAGAACCCCGAAGGTAAAAGAAAGCCTTATTAAAGGAAAAGCAGAAAAACAGAGTAATAAATCAGCAGGCTGTGGTCTTGAGCTCACCTTTCCCACAGCACCACCTTGGTCCCGTCCCACCTTGGCTAAGTCCTACACACAGCTCCTTGCCTAGGCTCAGGGGACCCCATTGCTGGCTGCCTCCACCTCTGCCCCTGAAGGAGCATGCAGTCCCCCAGGTCTCTTTGCCAGCCGGGAGGGAGGCAGGGGAGGGGATGCCCTAGGCTAAATAGCAGTAGTCAGACCATCCCATCTCTTTGCAGCCGCTCTTCAGAGATTACTGCTCCCTGCTTCAAACGTCTTGCCTCTAAGTGCTGGGTCTGCACGGCCCTGCCTGTGCTGGCCCTCACTTCAGTACACTGCATCAGCTTTTTTCCCTTCTTTCTTTTTACAACTGAAGAAATGAAAATTAAGACCCCTCTTCCTCTTGTTTCCCTTTCCTAGGACGGTTCCCTGTTCTCCTGGAAGGCTACATTGCTGGTTGGGGTGACTCCTCAGCCCAGGAGTGATCCCCAGCCTGCTCTTGGTCTGGGCACAGCATGTTTTCTCCATGCCTTGCCAGATGTGATTAGCAGCATTTTATTCATACTACCCTCAAACCTGGCGGTATCTGAACAAGAATGCTCCATCCTAGCACGACTGCTGTGCCAGTGATGCCAGCTCCCCTGGACCCCCTCGCTCTCTAGCAGATGCAGGCAGGGGGCTCCCCACAGAAAGTGGCCACTGGCCAAAGCTCCAGGTTGCTCTTCTTTCCCTTTGCCCACAAGTGTCAGCCATGACCTCTTGCCTGTCGCATCAGGCTCTGTGTACTGTTTATCATTTCAGATCTTTCTTCTCTTCCCTTTCTTTCATATCCTTTCTTAAATTAAACAGTGCCAGCCTTTCTAACCATGAAATCTCTGCCGGACACACAACTTTTTCGCTGGCTTTCTGAGCTGCTTTCATATGTGCTATATGCTACACTGGGACTGGGGTATCTAAACCAATACTATCTGCAAGCATATTTAAATTGACTTTAATAATACTGCTCCATTACTTCCCTGTTTTTAATCTCAGTTTGCAACCCAGGAGAGCATTTTACTTACTTTTTGGCTGCTATTTCTTACAGAACAAGGGTCCCTATTGAATTATCCAGAAGAGGACACAATTTTGGCCTGTTGTTACTGATTTTCTTGTGACTGCTCGTTCTGGAACATGCACAGAAGCTAATCAAAATGAGTATAAAAATATTTTGTTCACTCATAGTTTCTTCTAAGAACGGAAGCTCCCAACATAGCTTTTCATGCCTGTGCCCAAGAAGGCTAGCTATGTGTTAAGGCAGCGGGTCATGGTGTAAAGCCCTCTTCTGCAGCAGGCAGACCACAGTCTTTCTTCCTGCCACAAGACCAGACACCCATTCTATATATGATCGTAGATATTTCCATGGAGCATCAGATAGCAGGAGAGCTCTGTGAACCAGGATGGAATGGAAAGAGTCTGCAGCTGACTGCAGTGATTGTTTGCCTTTCAGTAGTTCATCCCATAGGACCTGGCAGACTTAGCTTCAGCCAGGAAGAGAGAGAGAACATCAGCCTAGAAAATGTCTGATACGCTTTTTCATATCTTTTTTGAATCCATAAGTGGTGGGAGGAATCTACCTGAAACGTGGCAAAGTGATTCCTTCCTTTTTCTGTTGGGCACCAAAGAAGCAACAGCCTCCGTCCATCTGCGAGGGGAAATGTGAACCCGAAAGCTCAGGGACAGTTTTCCACACACTCACATGTTGCACTGCTCTGTCACCTGCTACTTCTGGCTTTGGTTAAAGTTCTGTCATCCTGCTGTCAGAGGGCCACATGCCAATACCAGAGGCTTGTCAGTAAAAGGTACCAATCAGATGTTAAGACAACGCGCTTGCAAGTGATAGACGATATTGCATCCTGGCTAAAGCAGTGTGACATAACTCCAGTTGCTTGCCAGAGGAATGTCCCAAAGTGTTTTCTGACTGCCAGTGTCAGCAGCAGCTGGACATTTCATGTCCATGTTTCAGATTTTGAGGATAGTGTTGAAATCCCCACTCAGCAGTAGGGATCTAGCAGTCAAGTTTGTCAAAATGTGAGTTTCTGACTTTGGGTTGAGTCACTTGGAGGCTGCGAACATGAAATACCTATTTTTTCATATGAAAACCAGTATGTTCCTACAAAATCTTTCAGTGTGACTCCACATTTCCTGGTACAAAATTGTTTGCCTAGACATATCTTGATCTCTAGCCAAAGACTTGATTGCCCTTGCCAATAAAAATGTGCTTGTTCAAGCCAGGACCAAAGAATCGTTTAGAGTGGACCCACCACAGAGAAGTGCAGCGTATGCCCAGCTGTCTAAGTGTGTTGGCCACAGAGGCATGAGAATGGTGTGAGCTTTGTCCCTCTTATCCCATTGACTGCTGCATCTGGACCTTCATTTTAACAAAAATGTGTGAAATATTTCCAAATGCTTGGTGGTCGTACAGCATACATAATCATTAGGGCTGGCTACTAGAAGAACCCCAGTGTTTCCCTGCAGTAGCTCCTTTTTTGACCTAGGTAGAGGTCAAATCTGTCTAGGTACATTTAGTGCATAATACGTCATCCTCATAAAAAGGTTCTCTTGATGACTTACTTCAGAAATTAACTGTCCTTAGGATTAGCAACATATGCCTAGCTTCTATTCTGAATTTGACTAACTTTAGATTTTTACTGCTAGCTTCTAGATCTATTTCAAATAGGCTGAAGAGCCGTTTATTATGATTTTTTTTGTGCTACCTCCTCCCCCATAGCCATAGCCATTTTCATATGCCATAATTAAGTTAGTTCTTCATTTGGCAGGTCTGTAGATGTGCTGCTGGGAAAATGTATTGAGCACATTGAGAGAAGCTGCAATATTTCTCATCCCCAGGATTCAGGCTTCAAAGCTCGACAGCTAAGCTTGCAATGACATGATCACTGAACCTTTGAAACCTTCATGATTCATTATGGAGAAGTATCTTGATTTCAAATGCTTCCCTGGAAGTCATCTTCACTTTGAATGTGAAAGAAGTCTTTCTTGTGACCTTGTTTCATTTTTAGCAAGGATAAGTTCAAACCAGAGAGTTAAGAATGGTCAATGGAAAGGAGGGGATGGACCGACACCAAAAGATTGTCATAATTCTTTCCTTAAGACAAGGTTTGATTCTTACTGCATTCGATGCTTCCTTATTCCCCACTTGCCCATGCAAGTCTCTCACAGTGTGCTCTGTTCATGGAGGTCTCATCACAAGTTTTACAGGGTCTCCTGTGACCAGAGTCATGCAGCACTATAGGAAGATGGTGGGAGGACACCCACCTCACACGTGTGATAAGAGAATTAGGCATCCGAGAGAATCCATGACACTTGTTTGAGGATGTGTGGCTGGCATCACTGGGGTGTCTGACTTACTCTGTTGAAGTTGGTATGTGTCCTGCACAGGTTGTTGAGTGGGGGTGGCCACGGAGACATACTAAGAAGTTGATGGGACAATGCAGAACTGCCGTGGCAGCGTGGGGTCCTGGTGTGTTGCTGGGATCACTTTTCATGTCTTTCTTTTGCAGTTCTCAGAGATGGGCTCTCCATAATGCTTTGGTTATGAAGAAAGAAGGATTGCTGAATTGTTGTTTTGCAATGGAGAAGACAGAGGGAGTAACACCATCACTGTGGCTCCCACCCTGTTGCTTATCTCCCTGCAGACATGTGTCCCAAATCCTCTCTGTGCTGTGTTAAGGAAAGGAAAAGCTTAGACATTACGCCGCCTTCTTTCTTACATCACCTCTTCCAGTTTTGCATCCTATAACCCCCTGGTGAAAAGAGGAACAATGACTTTATATAGCTGCTGCTTGATTCTTTTGCTGTTTACCTGGGACACAGCTGCCTATGGGCCAAACCAACGGGCACAGAAGAAGGGAGACATTATTCTCGGAGGATTGTTCCCCATTCATTTTGGAGTGGCTGCTAAAGACCAGGATCTAAAATCAAGACCAGAATCAGTGGAGTGTATAAGGTAAGCCACGAAACGAAAAAATAAAAAGTTCTGGTGGGGGAGTCTTGCCCTTTCTTGGCTACAGGTGACATGCTATACGCTGTGTAAATACAGTCTGTAAGCTGATGCTTGTAGAGGCAATGGGAAAGTATGGTGTAAATAATAGAATAAAACAGGCATGTAAAGACAGGAAGTGCATATGTTAAATGGTATCATAAATAATATTTGGACAGTGAGAGAGGGCAATCCTTATATTACCCAAAGCTGCCAAAACATGAATCTATCTGGCCATTCACAGTGGACATTTGAATAGTATCTGAAAATTGGCTTTCTTAGCAGAAGAAGGGAAAATAACCCATAGTGCCCTTAAGTTCGTTTGATTACAGTCACGCATAGCAAAATAGCTTAGAAATCAAATTTGGGGGTTTTTTATCCAGTTCTGCCTCTCATCTCCTAAGACTTTACAAACTCTTTAGTTGCCTAAACAGTGAGTAGGTGAAAGTGAGATAGGTCACTGCTTTTGAAAAGTCCCGCTGAACACATAGATGTCTCTTCAGGACCTTTACAAAGTCCCAAACTTGAATTCCTTACTCAGGCTTTCCTCACCCGAAGTCCTTTTCTTCTGTGTAAACAGTGCGTATAGGTTTTGTTTTAAATCTTAGGCAGTTAACCCTGGAGGGAGAAATGCACATGAAAACAAAGTATCTTATTATTAAAGTGTAGCCATTTTTATGATGAAACATGAGGAATTTTTAACCTTACAACCCTGCACATAATACACATAAAGTTTGACAGAAACTGATTGCAACTGAAATGACATATAAACAAAACATAAGAAATTGGTGTGGAATTTTGTCATGACCATGCATGGGAAAACACTTCAGTGTTATAGGACCTATTCTGTAATCATATGTGAAAAATTGTATGTCTGGAATTATTTGGCCCTCTCATCCTAGACTGGGGATCTAGTACAGTTTTGTTGCAGATGGTGATAAAGAATGTCTTGCAGAA